TTGGAATGTTTCTCAAAACTCAAAAACTATTCCCATTTTGTGCATGCAGCCAAAGAGGTTATATGTTTTAGCTTATCCTTATACTACTACTACTTTGGATGGATGTTCATTTAGGTAGTTTCTTTTTCGCATCTTCGGATCACGTGCGTACCGAACCGTGGAGTGGGATCGGTTCGGATTTCGGATCAACCGTGATCCGTTGCACCACTACTGAACATACATACACACGGTATAATCATTTTACTATTATTATTATTACTATTTGGAAATTACATTTTAAAATAGCCAGCAGCAAGAAAACTACTTGTTGGCCTGTTTTGAGGAAATTCATATTGAGGTTTGAGTAAATATCAAGGAAATAAATGTAAAACAGTGTAAATCCAAGTCATGAATGATGTGTGTATATGTGTGTGCCTAATATTCCAGCTCCAGATGCTGTCTAATTCTATGATCTTGATCGTGTTGTCCAGATAAAATCTTTAGAGGAAAATCTGAAGAATACAAGTCATATTAAACAAACATGAAGGACTACAGGATGAGATTGCTGGGTGTCAAGGAGGCAATCCCTCTTTTGTTTTCAGGTCACCTCTGCCATTGGGTCATGGTCCTGTGCAAGTCTCATCTAACTGGCTTGTAGTCAGGATGTGGTTGCTATGGCACATGTCCAGTTGAAGCAAATGAAATCCATCCTTCTTAGTTTCCAGGCAGGATTCACATGCGGAGCATGTTTTGCGAGATGCTCTGTGTGTGTGTTTGTGATGAATTGCGTGTGCACATTCATATAGAGAATGAGATATCAAGAGGGAGAATGGGCTTTTGAGGTTACAGAGGAAGTAGGGCATGTGATTGTGCAGCCACGTGCATGCTCGTGCGAGAAGGAGTACTACTGTAAGTGTGTGCGGGCGTGCACGCGTCGCTCTTCAGAAACAGTTTTCTGATGTAACATGAACCGATGCCCGCCTTCTCTCTCCCAGGCATCTCGGGCGTTTGTGGGAACTTATTTCTGAACACTTGTTTCCACCAACCAAACAGGAGTCAATGACTATCACACCAAAGAGACAATAAGGGCCAAGAGCTGTAGGTGAGCACATCGCTGCAGAGCCTTAACCCACATACTGATAGACGCGACTCAGTTAAGTCAACAGCGTCTCCAATTTAAAATGCATGTTTGTAGATGATGGCAAGAGTAGCAGTGAATACATCACTGCACTACACTATTTGTGCTTTAAATGCCCGTGTCTGTGTCCCACTGAGAGTTGGCCTATAGCTTCAATGATTGCTGCACTTCTACACTGCACACTAATGTTTATTAATGAATAACTCGGCTTTGTTTTCCAATGATATTTTAATGTCATCAATACTATGTACTTAGGTTTTTCATTAATAATTAACGCCAGATTCTTTCAAACACTAAACCATTTAAATGCAAGGTTATCTAATATACATGCCTATCTGTATCTTTTCCCAGCTGACATGAGAACGTATTGTAGCGCTAGCTTTCATACAGCGTGTACAACAATGACCTGTACTTAAAGGGATTCTATAGTAATTACAGGTGTTTTAAGTGTGTGTGTGTGTGTGTGTGTGCTGGTGGGGTTGTCTTTGTTTGGCAAGAGTACAAAAGGAAGCAGCAAATAATGCTCATCTTTGAGCCTTTTGTTGCCACTCATGCAAGAGGTGATCGAGTTTCCAATATCACTGTGCATGAGGAAACATATCCCCTTTTCATGCATACCCACCCCTTCGAAGAAACTGCAGGTGGGACAAAGGCCAACCTAGCAGTCTATCCAATTAACGCATAACAGAGGAGGCAGGGACCCGTGACTTCTCACACAGCTCAGTGGTGGGACATGATCACAGCTGAATGACAGTGAGAGGGAGAAAGAGGAGTTGGGGTGGGGTGTGTTACGTGTGAGAGAATGCAGAGGGTCGGCCCCAGCTCCAGCTGTCCCAGGGTTCATTGATCAGTGATTGGAGACAGCTCTGCTGACAAGAGGGGGCAAATTACCAGTATCTGCCCTGCACTTGATAACAACATGCCTACTGGAGACAATTTAGCATAGCACTGGATACTGTATATGGATAATAGTATATAACAAATTCAAGTGTTTTCAGTCCCATCTGCCACGGATGTGTAATATCAAGCACCTAGCCATGCAGTCTGCCTTTAAAAACATTTGTGAAATTATGGGTTGTTCACTGAATTTGAATGTTAGGACGCCACCATCGCAACAGGTCGGTTCCAGGATCAACTCTAAGGCCTGATTTAGACTTCTTGGGGAAGTCTTTATACAGCCTGTACATTGCCTCACATCATTGTCAGGATTTGTGTGCATGGTGTATTATGTGTTAATTACTGTGTAATTGTGCCCCAGGGGTTTATATGCAATGCTGTCCAATAGAAACCGGGGTCATTGCTCTTTGTTGCTTTCAGTTTTATTCAGGGACAAACATATTTGTTGCCTCCAGTTCTTTGAACATTCCCTCGCATCCATTCCGATAGCTTCAGCATCGTAAGTTAAACATTTTTAGGATGTATTTCGATTTCCAATTACTCTGTAATTTGTGCTTTTTCTGAGATGACCTGATTTAAAACCTCTGATAATGTGACAGTTTCAAGAGCTATCATATTGTCCCAGTTAAAGCATCTGTGAAAAGCCTCTGATTGTTGTTTTTGTGATAAAAAACAAAACAAAAGCGTGAGTATTCTCTGCAGGTGCCTAATTAAACTGATCAAGATGCAGTCCTCTTCCAGCTGAATCTAGGTCATTTCTACCGACGCTGAACAAACACAGGCATAAAAACTTCTGAAATTATAGTCTGTAAATGTAACCTGTACTTTTGTTCAAACACTGTGGCAATCAGAAGTGGAAAACATAATAAATTACACTTGGGCAAAATGTTGACACGAAGCCCACCTTTTGTGGATTTATAGACCCACAATATAGTGCAGAATTCAAAGTGTCACATTAACATAGAGCTACATAGACCACAGTTATAAAGAATATACTTATCAGCAGCATCAACAAAAGCACAAATGACACGGTTTAGATGTCTTCAGCTGCGAGTGTGGCACACAGATCTGTCATAAAGCCTTTCATAGATGTTCACTTGTCTCTTACACTGCTATACAGTTTCACATCCATTACATATTGAAATCATTCTAAAAATGACTTCTTTACTGCAGAGTCTATGACAGGTCAGAGTGACCAGCAGAAATGAATATAATCCAGTATCTGACAAAATATTTAACTAGTCTACCTTGATATATATTTCACTTTTAGCAAAAGTCTGGTTTCTCTACTAAAGTGTACTGCTCTCTAAGGTACAGGATGTGACCTGCCTTTTCAAGTAACTACTGAAACATAGATATCATAGTATAGTGACTTGATGCTGTTCAGTATATTAATGTCCAGGTAAGAAACTGAGTCTGTGAATGTAAATACACCTACAGTACTGTGCAAAAGTTTTAAACCAAACCTCATTTCTTTATATTTTGCTTCCAATGAGCCAATAATTCTTGTAATTCTGCTTTTGCTCCAAGCCCTCCATCCTGGACCCCCCTCCACCTGCTCGGGCCTGGTGGTCTGCTGCTTTTGGTGCTGTCTGGAGCCAGCCCTTAAGAGGGGGTACTGTCATGGTCCTGAGTCAGGGACCCAGTAATTTGTGTACAGTGTCTGAAAGTCAAGTACTTAAGAAAAAGGGGGGAAAATCTAGCAAAGACCTGACACAGGACCAGAGAGGTGCATCTGGACCTTAAATTCATCAACTGTTTGCTAAAGCATCATCGGAAATGGCTTCAGTGGAGTGGTGGCTGTAAAGAAGCCATTCTTAGGAAAGGGAAATGGGAATAAAAGGGCTGAGGTGTCCCAAATTACACAAGAACGAGACTGAAAATCAGCGATAACAGGTTTTGTGAAATGAAAATCCAAATTTAAATCCCTATCAGTAATATACAGACGAGGTCAGGGGGTACAACAGTGAATATCTACAGCTGTCTGTAAAACGCAGTGGAGGCTCTATCATGTTTTAAAGCCCCACTTCAGTCAACGATTTTGAATATCGCTGCCATCAGATTTCAAACCTGGCTTAATTTTTCAGTTTCCAAACACAATCTGAAAAAGGATTGTGCAGTAAATGTATACCTTGGGTAGAAAAACACATCAGTCATGGCTTTGCTGAGCCTGGACCTCAACATCAGTGAACCAGTGTGGCATCATCTTGACAGAGAACAGAACAACAGGCAGACGGCATCCAAAGAAGAGCTCTGAATGTTCTTCAACAAGCCTGGAAAACTATTCCTGTAGACTTTACATAAAGATTACCTAAGAGAGTTCAGGCTGCGATGAAGAATAAAGATGGCTACACCAAATATTGACAGTCAAGCTTATTAGGATTACAGAACCTCTGTTCTATAATCAAAATAAGCTGTGCTTCCACACGTGTTTGCGTTTCAGTAGATCACTCTACCTATTTCTCATTTTCCTTGCAAAATATAAACAAATGAAAGACGTTTGCACAGTACTTACCATAGAGAAAAACACAGGATGCAGCATACTGTGATATATGCTTCGAGCTGTAATCAACTTTAATTGTGGGCTGAATTATTTCAGCAAATTCTCAAATGTCAGATAAATATATTAATATACAGCTGTCAGAGCAAAGAACGGCTGAAAAAACCCACAAGATGACAGCGCTATCTGACCAGAGTAGCCAGATGATCAACAGTAGTAGCGAGAAAGCGGTCTCGTGCTCTGGGGAATTTCCCCTTCCACGTGTCTGATTACACGACCGAGAAGGCGGGATAACAACAAAGTCGGCTATTGGTTGCAGCACCCAAATGTAGCCGGCTCTTAAAGGGATATGCTCTTTCTTCGCTTGGAAGCAGTGCAAGTGTGCCGGAGGGAAAGCAAGCCTCTTTAAAGAGGGTTTGTTTACTAATTTTTCGCGCCACGCCCCGGTGGCGGAGTCAGCTGACATGCCTGCAAAGAAATAGGCTGCTAGCGCTTTTCCTTGCAGAATGGAAGTAGTCGTGGAGGCGATAAGGACTAAAGTCGTTTGACTCAGCGGGATTCTGAACTCTTAGGCTTTTTTCTTTTGTTTTTTTTTTTGTTTTCCGGTTATAGGACAGTCGTTACAGCGAAGCCGATCTGTGTGGTAAGTTCACGGGAGACACTTTTAAACGCTGTTAAATGTCTTCGTCCAGGGCACACTCTGTCCACCGGAGCGAGCTGATTACATCAGGTAACACGCGCGTCCTTAAAAATAAGAACCGACAGCGCAACGTGCCGCTGCCTTCCATTCGCGTCTGCATTCATTCGCCCTATATTACTGCACACAACCACATATTACTGGCTTGTCTGCTCATAAACGCGGTTAAATGTACGGCCTGTCATTCACCCAGCGCAGATTTGAATTACACCGGCTTTCCCGGTTTGCTCAGCCCGGCTGGGTGAATGGACTTCAAACCGCGGGGCGCCGAGTGCGTCCCCGGGTGCCCTGTTAAAACGCAGTAACGACTGTTTTCTTCCTATAATGAAATGAATCAGCGTATTACACATATGCCCACTCTTGCCTTTATTTCGCGCCACTCAAGCTGTATTTTTGCATGTCTTTTCGGTCAAATGTCGGTTTAAAACGCGCTCTGCTTTATTTCTATATGTTATAAATGTGTGGTGAGTGGCCGAGCTTGAGCGTGAGAAGGCTTCATTTCTCGGTGTGAGTAATGTTACATAAAGCCGATACGGCGTGGTGGAAGGCTCTTAAAGCCGTTGGATTGAAACTGTGTCAATAACAAAGCTCCCTCGCCGCCACCTCCACCACCGCATCTTTCGCTCCTTCCCCTTTGTTAATTTGTCTGCAGCAGGGGGAGCTACTGTCTGACACAAACATGCAGCTCACTGCCTGGTCAGTAGAGCAGTACAGACAGCAAACCTGTGTGTCTGGAAGTTGAACCTAAGGTTTTCTCTCTCACACACACACGCACACACACACACATGCACATGTTCTTTCTGTGTGTTTGTCAAAACAAAGCATTAAGTGGCTTTACGCACAGGGTTTATTGTGAACGCACACAGTATATCGTGAGGTCTGGGCATGCTAGAGCCATACCAATCTGCTTATGCTGGGTGAAGAAATGAAAACTCCTTTCTCCGGGAGCTTGGCAGGCTGACAGACCAGGGAAGGGAGAGTGGCGTAGGATTATCCTCAAAGACTGTCATTACCCTTTTGCTGTGGATCCTAATTTGGAAGTGTGGTAGTAGTCTAACCCCGTAATACAACTGCAGTGGTGACTTTGAGTTTTGCCAGTGAGGCCAACTTGAATTTCACCCGTATTTTGATGACTGTTTGACCCACTGTATTATTCAGAGTTGAGTGCAGTCTAGTATTGACTCTGGAGAGTTTGCCAAGTGCTCCTTGAGATTCTTGCCACACTGCGGTAAATTGGGTATGATGAATCATAATGAGGCATTTTATTATTGTCATCAAATATCTGCTCTAATATCTATATAACTTTCATATTTATATACATATACTGTTAAAATACCAACTATTAGCAAAGTTAGTAATTATGGGACTGTTATTGAAACCCCCATCCATGTGCTTAGCACAGACAAAAGATAATCTACCTCTTATTTAATCTAGGCAGCAAAGTCCTTTAAATGTATCTGTGGCTCAACTGACTTGCCTAACCACAGTGAATTGTGTGGTTTCATCACCGAGTTGAGCAGAGCTATTTGTCTAAATAAGCACTGAGATCTTTGCCACAAATTAAGGCAGACCGTTTGCTCATTTTCTCTTCCCCAACTTATCCACTGTGGTTTTATTGATTTGAGGGCACTCATTATAGGCCAGACAGGTTGTCTATAATGATAATGAATGCTTTGGAGGAAGGAACGAATAATGAATGTGTCTGAGATCATCTCATCAGCTCTTAGTGTGGATTTCTCCAAGGTTGGATTCATTAGCGAAGGGAACTTGGGACGCCGTGCCCGCTGGAAGACGAACTACTACGTGTTCGGCTTTAACCTTTCCTTTGTTCTTTTCCTGTCACGTTACTTTTAAGGCTGCTCGTTTCAAAGCGCACCCCGTATGGACGATGAGGAGGACGATGTGTTTGAGCCAAAAGCCAACTGTTGGCGCACCACATTCAGGGAGATAAAGTGTGAACATCGAGGCACACAGACACCCGGTCCTGCCCTGGTACCAAACAACGGCATGCTGCCCTGTGGAGTCGCAGAGGAGCCCAGACCACTCTTCTACGGTGAGGCTGACAACATACCATATTTCAAAAGAGGGGAGGAAAAGGGAACACTGCCTTGTGCGTGATAACCGGTGTTATAAAACCGACGCACGAGAGCACAATGCGAGACTCACCGTGAGGGATGGTTAACAGCGTTACTGCGCTGATCTCACCCCTGGCGCCTCATAGTCGTCATCACATTCACTTTTATGGTCTGTATGCAGTGTACCCAGCTGCTTTGCTATTCAAAAGGCGCCAGACTGGCATTGTGACTGAAAGGATGTGACAGAAGTGCTCACCTGTGCAGCAACTCTTCGGAGAGCTGATTATCAGTGACAGCAATTACTCTGGTGCCATAAACAAGTAACCATTCCAGAGGAGCTCTATAACTACTAGTCATGTGGGTTTATTTTGTGAAACTATTAAAGGTCATTAAAAAAGACAAAGGAATAACCACAGCTGGGTAAACTGTGGATATATAGCTGAGCAACCTGTTTGCTGAAAGGCGCGTTCTGCAGTACTTCAGGAGACTGATGGATCTCCTTACCTGAGTGTAAAAGAACGGCACGCCCGGCGTCATTGCTGTATTGAGATTATTTTGCTGAGCACGTGTTGTTTACAAAATAATAAGCATGAGTCCTGACACTCGACAGGTAACGCAGGTTTTCGATTGCACTTCCCGGCACGCTTCGAGCTCGTCGGGGATCACAGAGCGAGTCGACAAGGAAGCACGGAGCAGCAAAACAGCATGGAGCGCCTGCCCCGCCAGCGACCCGCGGCTCGCAGCGTGGAGGCCTGCATCGGACAGAAACTCCAGCTCATAGGAGACCAGTTTCACTGGGAACGCCTGCAACTGGTGAGGAGGATGGATGCATTCGGCTGATTGTGCAATACTGGGAGACAAACGGTGGTGCCGGATGGTAGTGAAACAAGCATGCCTCACATTAAGTGTGGAGGGGAACCCGATTCTTTTGACAGTTTTCAAATTTGACTAAATTGCAGATTGCTCCCTGTGCCTGATAACAGGCAAATACACCTATATTGTTTTTTTTGTTGTTGTTGTTGTTTTTGTCAGATAGTCTCTATGTGTCCTATCTGAGCCGGTAAAATGAGAGCAGTAAAGACAGGAAGATACGGCAACGTTCTGTCAACAATATAAGAAACAAAAGACTCCATAAACCGTAAAGTTAAATTTGCTGCCATCAAACTAGAGAGGAAACTTGTGTCCGTGTGCGAATAAGCACCACAGGTTAAGTGTTTATAAAGTCGGAGCAGGGAAAAGTTAAGTCCACACATTAGCCACATCATCCGCAAACCTTTTTTTTTTTTTTTTGCTCTTTTTAAATCAATATTTGGATCTCGTTTTGATCTGACAGAGATTAATTGTGGGTCAAAAGTTTCCTCTCTGTTATGGTGCTCGCTTTATATTTGTTTTGGAGAGGCTATACACATGCAGAACTTTACCCCAGTACCTAACCCCCACCCCCTCTGCCCCTCTTTTCCCTCAAGCCAAAGACATTTCAGAACGAGGACAGCCCTTCCCCCACTTCACCCCCCCCCCCACACTCCCACCCCACCCCCTTCCCCTGCCTCCTCTTCCTGTTTATTTCGCTCTCTTTTCCCCTGTTTCCTTAATGTGCTCTGAAGGCTGTTGGTGTGGAGGATGCCTGCACTCAAACGACACACGGTGGTCACAGCGACAGTGTCCACTGTATCGGCATGTCACTGCTGTTTGGGTGTGCTGTAAAACATGCTTTTATTTCTTTATCTTTAAATATGCACAAAATATGCACAGACACCCCCCCCACCCAATCAGATTTCCTGCAAAGTACAAGTACTTTTGTTGCGCAGGTGGTTAACAGTCTTTACACACATAATAATTTCACACATTTATACACGCACACATGCACGCATGCTGATGCATCCAGGAAAAAAAGCAGAAGTGGTAGAAGTAGGTAAACATGTTGTAACCCGAAGCTCCCCACGTGAGCCCAGAGGGGAACAGCTGTGGTTCCAGGGAGTCTCAAGGCAGCCCCTTCCCTTTGCGAGGCGCAGCCACAGGAGACACACACGCGCACACACACCCAAAAAAGAAGTTTTCTCAGTCATAGGCAGACTGCGGAGGTGAGAGCCATACTAATGATGGTTTAAGGATGTATAGGGGGGGTGGGATGGAGAATGGAAATTGAACTTCACATGATCAAATAACAACTGTCCTAAGCTGTCTTAAAAACTCCCTGTGGGGAAATGGGATGACCCGTGCACATAAAAATATGTATATATATATAATCTTTTTTTCTTTTTAAATTTAGACTCTAACCTATGAGACAGCTTCTGATTTTTCTCATGCACTTTATCAAGCAGATGTTATTTATACCGCCGCAGCAAGCAGCATGACTCATGTATTGTGACACGGGCAGACACACACACAGACGGTCAGACAGGAGGGTTGCTATGTGTGTGCGACCAGGATCTACTGACGCACATCGGAGGCAGGCCTGGGTCAAGAGATGAGGAAGTGGTTTGTGCTCACTTTGCTGGTTGAGTAAACAGCAGAGAGGACAGTCAGAGTGAAAACCATCCTGTAAAGTCATATCCTGAAGACACATATGCCTAGATGGTGAATATTTGATAAAGGCAAAAATATATATATATTATTTTCTTTTGTTCTCCGAGCATGGCTGTGCTTCTGCTACTGTGCTAAGTGTCTTCGTGGTTTGCTGTTACTGAGGGATGTTTTTACAACTCAAACACTTAAGTGTGGTTTTGGATGCGTGATTCCACTGAAGCCTCTGTAATTACTATTTCTGGTTCTGGTTGTGCAAGTTATTGTATTGTGCGTGCATGTGTACATGCTCATGCATGAATACACCCATACTTGTTTTTCTGCTTTCTGCTCTTTTGCCGTCTCTCACTTCTCAGTATCGCACGGTCTGGCAGTTAGCACAAAAAAAAAAAAAAAAAAACTATCGCTGGATAATAGCGGTACTGTTTGCCAGGTCTCATTCCTGTTGCTCCTGTCAGTAGGCGAGTTATTCAGCTCAGACACTTGTCCCAGAGCAATCTAAATGCCTTCGACTGCCATCGTTTTTGATGGATTTTGGTGCAACGTGGCTGCCGGTGCTCTCTCCATGGGAGCCCGTGGCCCCTGGCGAAAGGAGGGATTAGGTGGCGGAGGGAGTGCTGGCGGATGCTGACAGATAAATTGCTCCTCAGTCAGAAAGTGCTGGAGGGGACTCTAAGGTCCCCAGAGGGATGGCTGACATTAGCCGGGCATGCCATTTGAGACACAGCAATAATGGCATTCACAATGGCAGGAAGACTGCTTCAGCCTGCGCAGGGCAAGGAGCAGAGTTAGGTTTCATCCCCATGTTTTTTTAAGGGAGACGACTCCTGGTGCTTTCGATAGGAGGTGTTGAAAGCAGGGTTGAATATCTCCTCCGTGTGTGCGCGCCTGCACGCTTACACGCAGCGGTTGACGCTTTATCTCGTCACTGTTCCAGTGAGGGCACGGCACTCTCTCCTTTCAGCACTTGTGGAAGGGGAGGGAGGAAAGTGGTGCTGGGAGCAATGACAAATGGTATTTACTTTTCTTTCATTGTTCTCTGATTATTTGTGTTGACGGGAACGTCTGTTTGCGCTGTTGCCTATTAACTTGTGCAACCGCTATGTTCGCATGATACTCGGCCCCTTCTCCGCTCGCCGATATGAACAACGCGGGGCTTCTCGCTGCAGAGGCTGGCCTGTTTGCTCAAGCGATAAGGCAGAGCTTGCGAGCAGCTGGCTTGACAGACAGCTCGCACTGATAAAGCACATCGGGCTGGTGTCAGCGTGACGACATAGAGAATCTGGCTCCACTCTGCTTCTCTATCGCTGGCTAAATTTAGAGCCTCGTTTTGACAGTTGGTGTCGTGACTCATGACTAACTTGCAGCAGGCCTGCACACCTCCTTTTGTCACTCTTGCTGTTTTTTATTCTCTCACTTTCTTTGTGTCTAGCTTGATAGAAACGAGGGTGAAAGGTCACAGGGGGCATTCTGGTTTGGACTGTAAAGACGAATTCGCTTCTCATGGAAGTTGACTCATTTTGAGATTTACGCTCTGACAGAAAAATCCTCTCTCGTTAAATATTGACATACAGTATTGATATAATTGCATACATGCATTCCCCCCCCCACCTTTCTTTCATGGCAGAGCCGGCCTTGTGTAACTTAATAAACTACAAGCCCCCATGGCGGCTTCCAGCAATGCAACATTTTGTGCTTTCCAATAAATACCGCCTTTGTTTATTCGAAGTAGACATTACACTATTATTATATCCTTATCAAAATATCTCCAGGGCAAAATTTAGACATGTCATAATGAAACAAACAGCTTCCTGGTTGTGTTTACCGTAGCGTTTCTACCTCTTTTTTCAGGTGAAAGCAAGTAGAATACAAACATGCTGGCTGGAAACTGCTAAAGCTTATGCAACACCCTGCAAAGTTCACCACAGTGTGATAACGGTATGGAAACCCAGAGGCTTATCGCAGTGGCAGTTCTTGACTGTTAACTAGGTCAAGGTTTGGACACTAGTCGTGCAAATATGGCGTATCTAATCGCTGCCTTAGGATATTTTGGCTTTTCTAAACAGTAATACAATGTTATCAAGACAAAGTAGTACACTTTCATGCATTGTTTTGAAAAAGTAATCTTAAATCCCCCCCCAGTTGTTTTCAGTTTACGGCCCTCTTGGTCTGAAAATAGCCTCGGCACTATCAGGTGTAGCGGAGTCTGCCTTTCGTCCGGAGCATGAGATCTTCAACTACTGTAGCCCTCTCGTGCAGACACGTGTGTTTTTCCACAGACTCCCTGCCTCTCATCAAGAGCCCTCTAATCCCATTTGGTGCAATTATCTTATCTCAGCTTCTCAATAGCAGAGATAGCATTATCCTCCTAATCGCACACAATCCAATTGGCTCGCAAACCTGAGAGAGTCTCCTCCTGAGCTGCTTGCTGCCAGTCTGTGCCAGGAAGATTAGAATAAAAAAAAGTGTGACCGTGCGATAAATGTGTTTATGGCTAGGAATGTCTGTAGGGAAAGCCCGGCTCGCGTAAAGGATCCTGCACACAAAGGGAATCCTCTCTGCTAAGTATCGCTGGGAAGCGGAGCAGAGTGCCCTGAAAATATCGGCGTCTCGTTACGTTTTATGCTCGCTGTGAATCAGCGTCGGTCGCCGACAACATAAACACGACGCGAAACCCCAAATAATGGCTGTGTCTGGTGCTGTGTTTTGAGTTTCTAACTGTTGTGCGTTTCGTCTTGTTTTTGTTTCAGTATCAACGAAACCAAAGGAACCAGGGGCCGATGTGGTGGCGCCTGGCCGCGGCCATTCTCAGCCTTCTGTTTGATAGGGGGTTCATAGCCGGAGGAGGGGGTGGAGGACGGAGGTGAGGCGACCTTGTCCCCCGTTTTTCATTCATCTCTGTGAGGAACTGGACTCCTACTGGCACTGTCTAATCTAACACGGGTCTGTTTGGGGGAGAAAACAATTGAGGTCACCGCGGGACGGAGACAACCAACTTTTATACCAGGTTGTGTTTTGGGGGTTTTTTGTTGTTTTTTTTTTTCCTTCAAAGAAGATGCCATGTTGCTCTGAGATTCCACTAATGGGCAATGTTCTTTCTTTTGTTTTTTTTTGGCATACCTGTGGTGTAGTGGTTTTGTACAGTACATTGTTCTTGTTCACTTTAATGACCTCTCACAGAACCTGGGAATGCCTTATTCAGTGTCTTCTGCCAGAATGAGTATTGAGCAGTTTTGACAGGCAAGAGAAGATGGTTAGGAAGTGAAAGGAAACGCAGAGGAAGTTTCCCAGGTGACCAGTCAAGTCGATTTTTACTAACTTCCAAAGAGGCAACTTCTCAGAACAAAAGCATTTTGCACCTCACCTCAGTGGAACATTTATGTTTTCTTCATTTTTTTTTCTCCTTTCAGTTTGTCTTTTGTCCCTCCTTGGTTTTCTTTGAACACGACCTCTTGGTATTGTTCAGAAATACTGGGAACAGTAGTTTCCGCGCGTGTGAAAGTGAGCGCACGGTGATATGTCATCTGAATATCTTTTAATATGCAAAGAGAGTCACGCGATACATGTCAGATGTTTGGGTCTGCTGACTCTCTGGGTGGAGTCTGCACTTCTTAACGTCACCGTCTGGTCAAACAAGCCAGGTGACTGCATGCAAACTTGCCAGACACCAAAAAGAAAGTGAAAAAGGAAAACAAGGCATGTGCACTTGGACATCTTGTGTTGTTATTGTTAAAATCCTTTCACTTAACCTGGGTTTTTACTGGGTTTACTTGTCATTTTAGCCTTTTTCCTGCAACATATCGGGGGGCAAATGACATCTGACATGTAGCGCACGTCAACGTGCCGACTTTTGCACGCATGTAAACAACTATTAGAGGTCTTGCACTATATTAGAACACAAGTCAATCACGTTGCAGATATCGTAACACCTAAACCAGCTGTTTTATTCATTTAACTTGACCCTTGTTCCCAGTATATTACTCTAATATTCCCTTTTGGGGGTTTTTTTCAATGTTTTTCTTTCATTTGATTGTTTTCAGACCTCCATGCCCTTGAAGTGGAGCTGTGGATCCACTGTTTTTGCACTATACCACCCTTCAAAAGATCCGAATGTTGACAAGCTAACCTCTGTCTCGTATGAAGGTTGATTTTTTTTGGTTTGTTTATTTGTTTTTTTTCATTTACCACCTGTTTCCTTACCACCGCATTTCACATTTATCCATTCGCATTGTCTTGAGACGTGCCTCAGTGTTGAGGCCTGACTGAACACAATCTGGATGACGCTTCTCGAAAGATCGCTCACGCAGTTTTTCAGACCACACTGAAGAGTTGGAGGGAGACACGTTGGCTCGGTTAAAAAGGTTTTGATTTTTTGTTTTGTTTTTTTCACGGCCCCGCTGTATCTTCAGAACATCGAAACAATATGCCGAACACAGTGCGTAAAACTAAATCTCTCAGGCCACCTGTTATGGGGTATTATATATTGTCGTTGGTGCTGAGATCCAGATTTGGGATGTTTGAGCACATATAATCACCACTGACTCAGCAGACGGGCAGTCTCTGAAATGGACAAAAAAAAGAAAAGAAAAAGTGAAAAAGACTGTAATTATTGTTGAAATATGAATATGTTTAAAGACACTGTCAAAGATGCTGTTTGTTGTTTTGTTTTACTCTTCTTTCATTGCTGAACCCAGGCCAACTTTTGGACCCAAGGAGCAGTACATATCAGGGGTCTGTAATTACATGCTCCTTACAATGTGTCAAGTTTATCACTGCATGACGATTAGGTTCTTTATCTTTTTTGTTGTTGGGCTTTTTTCTTCTTTTTTTTTTTTTCTCAAGATGTCTCAGGGACAGACTTTTGTGGGCTACTGGTAACCTTGAGAATCTGTTACATGGTTAGAAGAAGAGCTGTTCTCGCCGATTAATACGTGACGAAACCCCCTCGAGGTGTTGTCGCCTCTCCCATCTCCATTTTAACCTAGATCTCGGCCAACTTTCTCAGCACACGCTTCTTAAAGGTACCGTTCGACTGAGGAGTTTGAGGCTGACTTGCTGGCTGTGGTGGGGACGGAGCTACTGAGCGTAGTAGTCATAGGTGGTGCGAGGTGCACTGAATGTGGTTGTGGTTGTAGTTTCCTGCGGATCGTGAACGCTGAGCCAGTCCGTGTAGCTCCCCGTCTCACCATCAGCTCTTGACTTCCTCTTTGTGCTGCTCCTTCATTACATGGTTGTTGTTCATCGGTTCACTTTCTTTGTAATTTATTTTTTCTTTCTTCTTCTTTTATTTATTTCAGTGTATTTGCCCATTTCTACTGTATACACCTGTGTGTGCAATTACTTCATTGTTTTCCTTTTTTCTATTTTGGTCTCCCGGACTTGTATACGCTTCGGCTGTTTGGCTCTGTGGAGAACAGGTTGGCGATCGTTACGCCGCCTTCACCTTTAGAAGAACAACTACTGTATTCGTGTAGTTACGATTACTTTTTAAGTGGCGGCAGGTGTCACTGCTAAGCCAATCATCTAAACAGAGCAAACACAAGTACAGCTGCTGCTCTTCACAAAGAAGATAACTACAGACTGCAGATGAGTGTTTGATACTCAAAATTCCACCATCCAAAAATGACGCCTTCCCACACGACCTCTCCCTCATAACAAGTAACGGCAGACATGACATTAGACACAAAAAGGTTGCCTTCTTCCTCAAGTCACAGGGCGTCAGTTTACTCGTATGTGTTCAATTCTTTAATCTTAATCATTGTGTTGTAATCAGTATGCACTGGAAAGTACTTTGTATCTGTAAATCCCTTAGGTTTCTTATCTGTTGAGTGTTGATGTATAGTATTTACTCTGATTTGTTCTCCTCAGTTGATCTCGCCACGTGTCAGGCGTATTCGGTGCAGCGAGCAAGTAGGCTCGGGTGCGATGGCCCGGTTTGATTTATTGGAAAGGGAAACAAGCCACCGTGGTGCCCTGTATAGTTTTGTCAGAATGAGGTTCCCGAGCCTCAAACGGCATACGTGAGCGCAGAAAATCCCAAGAGAGACAGTGAGAAAGAGACATGCGTATTTTATTGAAACCGTCAGTGTCTTGAATTTTGTAGTCCACTTTATATAAATTTGAAGTTTTTTTTTCCTTTGAGGAAAGTTTTGAATTTTTATAAGTAATAACATTTCTTCTTCGTGGTTTTTCTTAACGTTCTTTTTTTTAAATTGTATTTTCTTAAAAAAAGGGGTCTGATTTTATAAGGACACTTCACGCTTGTAAAATGACTTTTAATACCAGTATGATCCTTTTTGAAGTCAATGAGATCAAGAGCATTTTGGGTTTTTTGTTTGTTTTTTTTAAAGACAAATGAGCTTGCGACATTCCTTGCACATCTTACTGTCCTGTATACACAAAACCAAATGAATTCATGGTTGCGGTTGATTTTGCTCGTGAGCTCGTAACCATGAAACTGTCCTTTCTTTTTACAGAACTGATAAAGTGTAAATGTATTTCTAAAAAAGATTTAAAAAACAAGACAAAAAAAGAAAGAAAGAAAAAACCCTGGAATATGCCTTTAACTGCTCAGTTTCAATGAAGTCTTGATTATCACACACTCTCTGTATACCAAGAAATGAGACCCAGCGAAAATGTAGCATTTTTGTAACATTGATTGTGTGTTTTCGAGACTCTACTGTGCACTCATTTTTATGTTTATATACATTTTTTTTCTTTTTTTGGTTGTTGATATAATAATGGAAGTAAAGACAATTTGTTATGTAGTGCAATATGCTGTACATGCGGAGCTTTGCTCTACAAATCCTTTTTTTTTTCTTCTGGATTTCTTGTTGCTTATTGGTACTTTTTTCAATAAAATTTTATTGAAGGTGTCTACTGAGTCACGTTTATATTTGCAGGTCACCCGCAGCGTCGTAGGCTTAACATCCGCTTGTTTTAAAGGCGAATGTACGGTGGCCTGTGAGGTCAAACGTTCTGCAGCGTAAGAACAGAAAGCAAACAAAAAAAAAGTACACAACACAAAGGAAATCGGGGGAAAAAAGTGTTTTGGGGGAGACAATAAAGTGACGGACCAGCTGCAGAAGTGACAAGCTAACAGTAAACAGCTAATAGCAGGTATATCTAGTTTTATACGAATCATTACTATATTATTACATTACGAATTCTTACTCCTAATACCTTCCGTGTCTCTGCGCAATCCTTCGCACATTTTCCGCAGCTGTTCCGTCACATTATTGTCTCCCCAAAGACACTTGTTTTGTTCTATGCGTGATTATCTTTTAACATTGTGTTTTATTCAGCGTACGTTGTGTTTTTGCAGCAGTTTTCTATTTATATTTTCTATATATTTCCGCATTCTTTTGGGTGTCTGTAGCTCAGGATTTAGAGTAGGTTATCTGCTGATCGTAAGGTTGGTGGTTCAATCCCGGGCTCCCCCCACATATCCGTGGGCAAGATGCAAACCTCAAGTTGCTCTCCAGTGCATCCAGTGGTGGGTGACTGTTAGTTAGAAAGCACTTAAAAGCATAGAAAAAAGTGAATGTTGCATGTTGCTGTTTTCTTGCAGTGCATTTGACCTCTCAGGGCACGTACTAGTGATGTGTGGTTGGGAACGAAATGGCTCTTAGTGCCGGCTCTTTGACGTGAACGACGCAAGCCGGCTCCTTATCTCGATCCATGGGGTTTTTTTTAAAATTTTCTCTCACCCTCTCTCTCGCACTTTTTCTGCGTCACTCCGCACACGAGCCTTGTGCTTTGCGCTGGGAAGAGGGGGGAGGGGCGGTAGTTACACTCGCAGTAGCACAGGAACAGAGCGGGAGGGAGAGAGAGGGAAAGAGAGCCAGGGACAACAACATCACATTAGAAAGGTATAGTAATCATCCACAACTATTTTCAGTTGCAGATGATAAAGGATTCAGAAAGTTTATTCATGCAGGTCCATATGACAGAGAATATTCATGTTCTTTTTGTTTTCATATTTTAATTTATATTTAATTGTGTTGTGGTTTGCAGTGTTTTGTGTTGTTTCACTTTAGATTTGTTTAAAAGGAAGAAGCTGAAAATTGAAATAGTTAAAAGTTGAACTGGGAATAGTTCGTTTTTGTATTATATGATTTGTTTATTACATTTTATGTGGAGTGAATAAATAAAAGTATATTTACGGTGGCCCCTACAGACAAAGCACGTACAAACTCCAAAACACATAAAAACTGCAAAACACGTACAAAAGACAACAGAAGTGCTCCAGGATGCTAGGCGCAGTGTTGAGCTTTTGTTACCTAGTACCAACGACCGGATTTGGTGTGTGGTAGTAACAGGTAAATGAACTTTTTTTTTTTTTAATTATTTGAATATATATGAGTGCTTGTGTATAAATACACAAACCATACAAGTATGCTTTCAATTGTGTAATTTAAGTGATCTAGGTAGCTGTGTTTTGGAGTTTGTACGTGCTTTGTCTCTAGGGGCCACCGTAAATATTTATATATAAACATATATAAATAAAACTACTTATGTTACATTAGTAATTCCTTTTGTGCATAATTTATATTATTGTTAATAATAAATTAATTAAAGCAACAAAACAACCCGAAGAGCCGGTTCGGAGCTAAAAAGAGCCGGAAATCCCATCACTAGCACGTACAGTTGCCCATAGTATGTAAAAACTGTGGGAACATGGTTAGAGAAATCTTATCTCTGAAGGTGAAAGTAAAAGGCTTAGTAAGACTTAACAGAAATTACATTCTTGCTAAATAAGCTGACATTGATTTAAAAAAAAAACTGAAACAAAAAAGTCTCTCACATATAAATCTGTTGTTAATATTTTCTCTTCACAGCAACCAGAATCTGACCTGTGACACACACAAAAAAAAATGGAGAACTGCTATTTTAATCCACTCCCACTCTTTTCTTAAGCTTGAGCTTTAAGTAGTTCTGCGTTGTGAAATAGAAACCACTGATAGATTGGTGAAGTGTCTCAGGCCAGCCAGTATTTTAATCTGCCCAGGCATTTGGCAGACTGTGCCCATCATATCCCTCCTGCTGTTAGGTCATTAATTTGGTGGGAGCATTGGGTCTTCCAAAACACTCTTAATAGAGGCTGTGTGATTCACACACATGCACATATGCAGAAAAGCAAGCACTGCATGACAACTGAAGACAGAAAATGAAAAAGAGTTACAGTCATATCCTAAAAGGTTAAAGCCAATCCTGCAGCTCCTGCAGATTCATTACACCGCAGCATGGATGCCCTGAAGTCATGGAAGAGACTGATTACTCCTGACACATGTAAATATCAAAGTTAATTGTGCATTCCTAGTCTGTGTGCACAGTGTTAAGAAACGGAGCATTCATTTATATTAAAGATCCATATTTTGTCCAAGATAAAGGTGTAAGTACGTGTGAAGTGAGTCACACCGAAACAAAAGCTGCAAGTTTTTTTTCTCCAGCTCTTTCTTTCAGGAGAGCAGACGGCGCACAGTCTGCTCCTCCAGGGCTTCACGCGTGGCACTTCTATTGTCAGGCACGCCAGGTACAGTTTCACAGTTTCCCGACACCTGACTCACCTGTTTAGCTGCTTGTAGCACAGCAACTCCCTTGTCTGTGGCCCCCCTGACGCAAAAAAAAAACATGCACGCAATGAGTGTGTCAGAGGATGTGGTTTAAAACAGAACAACAGCGCCTATTCCAGTCACAGTTGGTTGAGCATACACAACTGTTCAGCACTCCCCTCCTAATCCTGTGTCTTATGTGCTTTAAGTGTAGGAACTCCATGCCTAAATAAGAATTAATTAACAGTGCAATGTACATGCAGCTGCCAAAGAATAACAGTCATATGACTGCAGGCCTTAATGCCATCTCTGCAGAGGAGGTTGCAGAGGGTGGTTGCTTTTTTTTTTTCATGGATATTTTAGTAAATTGGAAGCAGTTTTCCAAGTATATCCCCAGTCTCTCTCTCTCTAGCTGTTTACCTCAGCTCTTCTAGGATCAACGCTTAAATGGGGAGAGCATTGGCTTTCCCTGGCCCAAACAATGGCTCCTCTGTTCCTCTAGCTGGGCCGCCGGCTGAAAGAGACGCCCATTAGTGAAGCGTCTATCTCTAGGGTCAGGCCCAGTGGTCACACACAAGTACGGCTCTTGTTTATGTCTACAAAGCCAATCAAAACACTCCAGCCTCCGCTGTTAACTCCTGCTTGCCCGGCTCTCTGACTCGACAGACCTAAGAGCAATTTTTTATTTGAGCTAAAGCCACAGCGTGCAGTGAATTCAAACACATACTTTGTGTTTCACTTCAGTGGCCTGTAACAAGGACAGTAAAATACCTGCATAAGGGAGAACAGCAGATTAGCACTAATGGCACCTGCTCTGTATTATGAGCCACAGATTCAACCCTCAGCCTGAAGCCTGCTATAAATATCTCATCACTACATGGGTAATTACTTAATGGTCACATGTGGGCTTCTTTTACATTGAGTTGTAATTGAATGTGCTGTATGAGTGAGCAGAGAAAATGAAAACAATGGCTAAATTCAAATTACATTAATGAGGTTGCGATTAGCTAGCAAGCTCGGTTATGTTTCCCTGCCCAGTTTGTGTGTCCAGGTGGAAGTGATGGGTAACAGTATCATTTGTCAGTTACTTTTATCTAAAAAAAAAAAAAAATACAAGTCATTTGGACAAAAAACAACAGCAGCATGAAATTTTTTGACATATCTCCTGCATGGCGTTGTTAGCCTGTTAGCATCCTAAACTATGAACACGGCAAACTTTGCTGGGAGAATGTTAGCACACCATTAGCATTAGCATTTAGTTCAAAGCCGCCAGTACAGACTGTAAACACTCGAGCCTTATTGATGACAGGTGTCTTCTTTCCAGTAAAACATAACTGGGAAAGTTTCTCCGTATCATAAGAACAACAGAGACGTTATCTAGTACGTCACAGAGAGCCAGCAATAACAGAAAAACTACACCTACGCCTCTTCTTCCAGCTTCTTTCAGTAGTGACCAAAACAAAACACTACAGGCACACATCTCCACTTCAGATTAGTAAGTGATACAAAGTGATTACTAAGTGATAAGCGAGTGTGCTTTTCTTTCCTTTCTGCTGCATAAATTTGCTTGGTGTCATATGAAAAACAACATTTTGGATGATCAGCTGACTAAATACGTGTAGTTAGCAAACAGTATAAAGATGTGAATGCTTAAAAATACACATGTAAAGATTATAGAAAAACACACCAACTCCTCTCAGACGAAGCAGATCTGTGCCACTGTCTCAGTTTTACTTTTATTTAAACTCTTTCCACTCTTCTCCACCACCCTCCCTCCACCCCCTCCCCTCTTTACACACATCTGGTGCTCAGGCAGGCAGTTGTCATGGGAATAAGCAGGCAAGCCAACAGTGTTGCATGTCACTGTGCTGAGAAGGGGGGTTGGGCGGGGGGATCAGGGTTCAGCTGGGCATGCTGTGGGCGCAGCAACTCAGCAACCATTCCCGGCCATCCCCAACCCCCCTCTGTCAGCTGTGACTGAACACAGCTGACCTATTCTGAAAAAAAGAAAGAAAGAAGAAGAAAAAAAATCTATCCGACCCCCACTCCCCCTGCTCCTCGCTCCCTTCTCGGCTGGGCCACCCTATGAAAACTCAGAGGAGAGCGAGTAAAAAATTGATCTATTGACACTTGGTAGCTGAAAATTAAATAAGCAGTCCCGCTTTTTTTTGCCATTGCATTTAGCTCATTTTCTCACTTTTTAAAACTCCTGGCTCTTGTGCCGTTTCCAGCTTCCTCCTTAATCCGCCGTGCTCCGCTGGCTCTTTTCTTTCTTTCTCCGTTGAAGGAGAGGTTGGGCAATCGCTATACAAGGCTACGAG